TGTCCCTGGAACTCTGCCTGCCTCATTAAACACATCCGCAAAGCAAACTTTAATAACTAACATGTTAACATGAGGGCTAAAGTTAATGCAATTGCGTTGTAGTTGGGATGTTTGTTAAATAAGTAGTCTTTAGCTGCTCTTTTCACAAAGGGTAAGTATACAAGATGATAGATTTGTTAATATGCTTCACTATGTAACCATTATCCTGTTGTTTTAAAAAGTAATTGTAAGTTTAAAGCACATTTTCTTTAAGAAGTCTTATGAACTGGAAAATCCCATCATTACTTCGTTGATAAATAGGAGAAAATTTGTACTCAAAGCAGTAGCTGCTGAAAGTTACTACAATAACTTGCTTCAACCCTATGACAAAAGAGAACTGACTTAGCCATTTGAATTTAGAATTACACATTCGTTTTTCCTGTAAGTTCTGAAAATATTTATTTGGATTTTCACAATGAAATAAAATTTCATTAAAACACATATTTTAGTTACATAGTAATTGAGTTGTATCTTTTTTTTTTTTTTTTGATTAGAAGAAATAGAAGAGAAACACTTGAGGAATTCTAACCAGGTATTCTAAACCCATCCATCATAAAATCATTGGCACACAGCAGGCAACTGGAAAAAGGATACCTTTTAACCTCCACTGGCATAAACATGGGTGTTTATTTTCAAGAGTGAAATATAAACAGACATGCTGAGAGCCAAGTGTTTTATGAATAAAAAAATATTCTAAGCGTGCATGCACACACACACACACACACTCACACACATAAAACTTTCCCCAATGGGCCACTGAGGATTTATGTGGATGTGAACTCTATTTACTGTTAGTATTAAGGAAATAGTGGCTTTTTAACAAGTTACTCATGCCTGGAAAAAATCCCAGTTTTGCAAGTTATCCAAGATTCTCTGCCAACTGTCCGTGGGAATCACTGGGATGGGAAAAGTTCAAATTTGTTTTAAAAGAACTTGCTTAATGGAAAATTTAAAAAAAGTAGAAGAAAACCAGCAACCCACTGTGCTAATCTTTTGGTTAAATAAGAATAAAGTATGGCCTACTTGCTTTATTTTTCTTTAGTATTTTTTGAGGAAAGGAAAAAAAGTAAATCTTTCCATTTTTATGTTATCCCATAAAGTCGCATTTAGGACTTTATTTCAATTATCCAAAGGCATGATGATTTGTTGGCTTTAGCATAGGATTGTACCAAAAGGGGAATGGAGCCTCTGCCAGTACCACTAAATCAGGAGACTGGACTTCTTATCTTCTGTCATTTTCTTAAAGCACATTTCTTTTACAATCAAACAAGCAAAGTTATCCTGTTGCTGTCAAGTTCAAAACCATGAAGGATTCAAAAGCTGATGTTAAAAGTTATGCAATTAATACTTAGAAAATACTAACAATTTCACCTTTTCTAAAATCTAAGGATCTCCAAGCAGTGCTCCAACGGCTTTTACATATTCCTTTCAAGTTTCTTAAAAATCTGACTGTTGCTTCACTCTCCTTTGTGGGATATAGAAACTGAGGCAGGCAGTTTAAAGGAAGTGGCAAAGTTAGGATGGAAGTCCAGATGGACAGGGGCTAGAGCCCTTGCCTTAAAGTGTGCTGCTTCTGAGACGGTGTATTACACATTTTTTTTGACCAAGAGAATTTTTCAAAATGAACAGGGCTCTGATTTGAGGGACAGAATCTAGTTTTCATAGAACAGGGAATGCATAACAGTAAGCTTTGCTTTTCCATATAAGATAAAACATAAGTGGTGCTCAAAAGTTCATGGAAAGTATGTACTATGAAAAACTGAATGCATTAATAAATGCACCAGAATAAACTGATCTTTTGATTTTTCATAAACTTAAAAATACATTTATTTATTTGAGAGGCAGAGAGACATAGAAAGACAGGTATTCCATGTACTAATTCACTACTCACATGTCCACAGTGGCCAGAAAGACTGGGCCATTGTGAAGCTGGAAATTCAGTAGCAGCTGGAAATTCAACCCAAGTATCCCAAGTGGGTAGCAGGGCCTCAGCTACCTAAGCCGTCACTTGCTACTCTGAGGGTCAGCAATAGCTGGAAACTGAAATCATAATTCGAGTTGGAATTCAGTTCCAAGCTAGGCCAGGTGCTTGTCCCACCATGAATCTTTTGACCTTGGTCGTAGATAAAGACATTGCCTTGCTGCCAGCCTAGCTCAGGCTAGATTGACTCCTCAAAAGGGTCCATGGGCAGAAGCATCACAAGTAACCAGATGGACACCTAGAGACTGTCCTTAGCCACCTGCACTGGGAATCAACTTTTCTCCTGACTCGAGGCACTTCCTGTCCAGATAAGTGAGTTGAAAAGGCAACTGCTGTATCTATTCTGTTGCAAATGGTTGAGGACGTTGATTCCCCTGGGGAGGTGTAAGATGAAGAGTTTTCCCACTCTCTTAGTATTAACACTTTTAACAAAGAATAATCGTACATGATCTGAAGATGCGCCATCACTGTTTCTCAGTTTGCACACTTCGATGGATAAATTTCACTTCAGGTCTGGTTTGTTTTGTTTCCTTTTTCACTTGAGTTTTTCAGGTGTGGAACCCCCCAGTTCTAAATATTTTCATATGCAACAGCAACAACAAATTGAACTCTGCTAAGACCTGTTGATTTATAGAACCGCAAAAAATGGGTTTCATTTGTAATTTTGCCAAGTTGCAAACTAAGAAGTTTTCACTTACATTTTTTTCTGACGGAAACTAATTTTTCATTTGAATTAAAATATTTCAGTTTTTTCACATGAATAAAACAAGGTTTATAAATTGCATTCTAGCTGGTATTATTCATAAAATGGCTTTTATAAATACTTTGGTATGTTACATAAATATGCAATAGTGATGGAATCAGGCTCCAACTACCACATGAAAATTTGGGCTCAATTCTCAGCTCAGAGTTTTGGCTCAGCTTTGGTGAGTGAAGCAGTGAAAGGGGGAGATAGATAGATAGATAGATAGATAGATAGATAGAGGACAGATTACTCAGCCTCTCAAATAAATATTAAAAAGGACTTCTGTGCTAAAATATGTTTTGATGTTAACATTTTATTGATTTGTATTTTGAAACCTCATAATTTTTCCTAGTTTTAAAGAAACAAATACCCTAACTGAAAGTATATAAAGTTATCATTACAATTTGCATTCTTAATCCCAAAGAGTAATGGGAACTTCATTAATTCCTAAACAGTGGTACTTTCATATCCTTATGGTAAAAGTCTTAGAAAAATTTTATATCATGTAAGTAGCAATTTGAGACGCACTAGAGTGAAAGGCCAGGATTCCTTCCTTACTTTTCTCATTTCTTAGCTCTGGGAAATTAGAAACTAATGATATTTCTGAAGGTTAGAAGTGACATGTTTATGAAAACCCAGGGCAACCATTAAATTATCAACTACTACTTTTGTGTTTTTCTTTGGAGGTCCACAGTATTATTTTAACCAAGGTTAGTTGTTTTTTTCCCCCCTTGGTTTAATTTTTTTGGTGTGGAAAGTAATTTAAATTTTATGGTCCATTTGAAGCAAGATTATTTACATCTGTGTGGCAATGTCTATGTGTGCATATAATTTATACTCCACTGTTATTACTTACTTCTAAATTCTTCCCTCTTGGTTGAATTTATTTCTACTGTAACCTTGCTATTTTTCACTTCAGTTAATTAGAAATTTGAAATTTTTAACAAAGCCTCACTGAGTAATGGCTAACAGTTGTTTGGTGTGTGCACACTTGTTTTGTGGTTTGTTTTTTTTTTTTTTCCCTCTTTTTTAGTGTTTGAAAAAGCTTTTCTTGATTGGTAAATAAACAGCTTCAGAATAAATATTTTGATTTGTTAGGTTTAATTAATATATATTATATATAAAACATCAAATTAGAAGGATATACTAAACATATTATCATGGAAGATAGGCAAAATAGTCTTTGAAAAATATATTTGTAACCAAGAAGGTGGCCGAATAATCGTAATTCAATTTAGGGCTTCGTATCTTTAGGACAAGGTAGAGGTCCTTCATGTTAACTTTGGCTTCTAAAATTCTACAGCGCAGAGATGTTTCTTCCCAGGTGTTGAGATGTCATGCTTAAGTAGAGGCACATTTCCAAACAGAAGACCATTCCTGTTGTCTTTGAGAAGAGAGGTTTTGGTGATGGGGTGTTTGCTGTGCTTACCACATTCTGCCTGGATGGTTCCTGACAGCATTATGTGTCACTTCCTGTGAGCTGGTAGTGTAGCTATGAAAGACTTTTCAAATGTTTTCCATCTTGAGTGTCTGGTATTATTAAGATGTTTGTCTAGAGGAGAATTTCAAATGAGCCTTTTGGCAGTTCCGGACTCAGAGGAAGACCTAAAACTGTTCCACTCTCTGCATTCCCCACATCCCATGTTCCTGGCCTGCTGGGGGCCACAATAGAAGTATCGACCTTGATCAAGTTAAGCCTTTGTCTCTCTCTTTAAAAAGGATTACTTATTTATTTGAAATGAAGAGTTACACACACACACACACAAGCACACACACAAGCACACACCCTGAGTGAGTGAGAGAGAGAGAGAGAGAGAGAGAGAAACAGAAGGATGGAGGGAGAAATAGAGGGAGATCTTCCATCCACTGTTTCAATCCCAAGATGGCCACAATGGCCAAGGCTGGACCAGGCCAAAACCAGGAGCCAGGAACTTCATCCAGGTCTCCCACACTGAGAAAGGGTCTCAAGGACTTGGACCATCTTCCACTGCTTTTCTAGGTGCATTAGCAGGGAGTTGAATTCAGAGTGGAGAGGTCAGGATTCAAAACAGCGTCCATATGGAATGCCAGCATCTCAGGGGGCTGCTTAATCTGCTACGCCACAATGCTAGCCCCCAATTTTTGGGTCAATATTTATTTACTTATTTGAAAAGTATTTATTTATTTGGAAAAATAATTTATTAGGAAGAGATTTATTTATTTAAAAAGATAGAGCAGGAGAGACAGCAAGTTAGGCCTTTATTTCCTTACTTTGGGGATTCTGTTTCATTTAATATACCTTTCCCAGAAAATTTAGCTGAATACAAATGTTGTACATAGGTATGAGTTACCATGAGACATTCTTTTTTTTTTTTATTTTATTTGACAGGTAGAGTTTTAGACAGTGAGAGAGAGAGAGACAGAAAGGTCTTCCTTCCGTTGGTTCACTCCCCAAATGGCCACTACAGATGGCGCTGTGCCGATCTGAAACCAGGAGCCAGGTGCTTCTTCCCGCTCTCCCACGCGGGTGCAGGGGCCCAAACACTTGGGCCATCCTCTACTGCCCTCCAAGGTCACAGCAGAGAGCTGGATGAGAAGAGAAGCAACCAGGACTAGAACCAGGTGCCCATATGGGATGCTGGCGCTGCAGGCGGAGGATTAGCCAAGTGAGCCACGGCACTGGCCCCAACCATGAGACATTCTGATACATGTATACTTCCCTCCTAGGACATTTATCATTTTCATTTATCATTTTCTTTATGGTGAAAACTTACAAACTGCTCTATTTTTTATTCTTTTAAAGAAAAAATGCAGTACCTTATCACTGTCTGTAGTCAATCTGCTGTAATCAGAATTCACCATTTTTAGTCGTAAAATTTCAGGATGACTTGGTTCTTCCGGTCCTCATGTCTGAGACTCGGTTTCACTCAGTAATGCAGTTTGCATTGCAAGTGCTCTCTACCCTCACTTGTTCCTTACAGAGAAATATGGTCAGCTGTTCAGATGGAAGTTGAGGCAAATGTTCATGTTCAAAGACATGGGGAGCAACAGGAAAAAAAGGCAATGTTTTTCCTTTGCCCCCACCCCTTGCCCATAAATCTTGACAAAAACAGGATCATTCAAGGCTCTGGTGATTTCCATCTGAGATCATCTCCTTTTCCATTCGGAAGAAGAAGTTTGAGTGGCTTACAGAGAAAATTCACCGGGAGAGGGACGTAGCAGAGCAGTATTGGTGAAAAACCCTTCCTGTAGATAGAATAAATGGCCATGCTCCGTGGTTTTAAATACAATTCATTCCAGAAGTTACCCGAACCAGATAGGAAAGCAAGTAAACCTCAACAGGTTTGTTGAGAGTGGCACTAATTATTGGTCTTCATTTGTTTATAAACTTAGAGAAAATGTGCAGCATTCTGTGTTTTGTTCCTATTGACAACTGAATTGGGCTGAACTTCGGGGGAAAATATGAAGAACAAAAATAGAACATAGTATGTAAAACTGAGCATTCATCTCCTGGCTTTACAGAAGCCTTTGCCTCACAGATATTACAGCACAAGTGAGTGCATTTTATGTCAGTGTTCATGGCTTACGGTCGTAATACTGGGCACTGAATCAGGGAATTGCTCCTGAAGTCTTATTCAAACCCTCAACTGCTCTCTTCATCATTATTTTTTAAAAGACAACATCTGTTCTTGTCTATTCCGTTACTCGGAACTTTGCAACAATGTTTCCATAGGATGAAATCACAAACAAGACCATCTAGCATTATTTTCCAGAATAAGACATAGCAGCCATTATTTTATTATTTAACGCGAGACCGTTTCCCAAATAAACTCAATTGGGGAGAAAAAAGCTCTCATTCTACAAATGCATTTGCAAGGCATTACGATTAATATTGATATAATGCCTCTATATATCTACTTGGCACCTGTTGAACTGTTGTACTTACCCATTAGCACTCCATTTAATACCAGAAGGCAGTTAATAAATTCTTCCTTCCTGTGCAGGAAATTGACTGAAAGACACAAAATTACCTTTTAAATTTTAAAGAATTAAGATCTGTGTGGCTGACTTTTTTCCTTTATACACTTACCTTGAGAATCAGCTTACAACCTTGTTCTTTGTCCAGCTAGAACCTGTAAGATCCTTGGGACCTCAGCCTTTTTGCTTCTGAAAGATTCAATGTCTATCCTTTCTCAGATCTTCCCCGCAGCAATTCTCAGGAAAGATCCAGGCTGGGATGATTGTCTAGGCCTCAGGCCCCAAAGGCCAGAGAGGTCAAGCTTTTGTACTAGGATGATGCCTGGATTTCTTTACATTCTTTGTCTGATAAAAGATAGTCATGCCTTTTTGCACCATCCACACTCCACCCCCAACTGTATGCACAAAGGCATGCCGTCCAGAAAGGAGATAAACCAAAGAGGGACATCTTTATGGCTTCCATGGAGATTTTATATGCCTATTTTCAATGGAAGAACAAAAAAGCAAATTGTCAAAAAAATATAATGCAATGGTTTTGATTCTTGACAATGAAGTCACATTGTAAGAAAACTGCATACACAATATTGAAGTATAAAAACAGTACCTCTTGATTGATGAAAACCTTATATAAAACAATTTATGAAGCTTTTTAAAATGTAAGACTCTTGAGTTGGTGTTATAGACACTAACAGAAAATACTGCTGGCATCAATAAGGACAATGTGAAGACAGTGTTGGGATTTTGTTGTTAATGTTGTTTAACAGTTAAAGCATTTGTTTGTCTTACTTTGTCTGTTTAACAAGAAGAGAGGAATACTTACTATACTTTTATGCATTTAAAGGATCGTCTGAATTATTTGTCTCTACTGTCCTGTTCTCTGAACAGTTCAGTATAGAGGGTGCTGGCTTGGAAAACCTACCAGAACTCATCATTTTCTCTCTGGCTTAGGGGGTACCATCACCTTCTGCTAGGCCTTTCATTAGTAGGAGACATTTACAAAACTGCCAGCATCTACCTTAGACCCAGAGCATTTGACTCTTCTAAAAGAGAAGGTGCATTGTGACCCACGTCATGCATACGTCGTGGGGACACCACAGGGAGGAAGGGCTGCTGTTTACGTGAGGCGCTCCCAAGACAGCCGTGCCCATCTGTGAAGTATTTGTGTGAGTGGCTTGGGGGAAAAGATCTCTTTTTAGACAGTAAATGTAGGACAGGGGTAAAAAAATAAGTAAAATAATTACTTTCTACATTTTAGCTCCATCTTCTCCTATGCACTATTTTAAGTCTTATGGTGGAAAAACAATTCTCTTTTGGACTCTGTCTGAGAAACTGCTGATTGCTACCTCTACCATTCTAGGGACAGTTCCTTTCACATTACAGTGGTCCATCCATGAGAAAATTAGATTTCTTTTTAGCAGGCATAACACATTTTTCAAATATTGATGAGTAACCAATTATCTTTAATTGTCCTAAAACTCTTGCCCTCATTGCTTTAGACTATGTTTGAGTGTATAATCATTTCTTGAATCTGTTCCTTTACTTTGTTGTGGTTTTGAATTCTATTCCTCAAGAGTTATTTCATTACTAAGTAATGACAAAGAGCTATTTTCCAAAGTTAGAATCACTTGTCAACGTTCTAGTAAGCCTATGATTACAAGAAAAAGGTTTTGGAGTTTGCCAAGGTGCTCATGCCATCGAACACCTCTTACCAGTTACCTGAGCAAGTAACTGGTAAGTGAACCAGGTCTTCAAGCAAGGCCTTCCATTTCAGCACTGCCGCATGCACTGCCTTGTCTTTGACAATGACACTGACTTTCAGCAGGCTTTCTGATTCCTTAAGCAAACAGAATGCCCAGGACTTAAATTTTGCCATGCATTAGTCCTAACTCTAGCCAGGGAGCTATCAGGATGCATATCATGGCATTCAGAGGGAATTCTGCTGTCCTCTTGGGTAAGAGCCTGACCATATCAGAGTCACACAAGTGTACATGTGTGTCCGTCATTGGGGTTTCCTATGTGCCATGGCTCATATGCCCTGTTCTAAGGATTACCTACCATTCATTCTTTAGATAAACACAGTATTTGTCCTCTGTCTTGAAGATATTGTGTGAAATATTGAGCAACCAGTGCTTAAATATCAATGCTTGTTCTACCAATACATTATTAAACAGTATCAAACACATAGCTGGCACTATAACAAGGATATGTAAGGGTAATCCAAAGGTTTCCTCTGGCTTTGTGGATTTTACAGTCTTGTTGAGAAGAAAAGATGTTTGCAGTGGAAACTGTCATAGAGCAAAACAGGAGAGTGTTCTTTTCCCAATCCTCAAAGCTTTTCCTTCCCATATGTTAAAAAAATCCATTCGTTTTCTGTGAAATTGTTCATTTATAGGACAATGCAGAGAATGAACATATCTCAGATCCAAAGAGTTTTTTAAATAACATCATCTTTTTCTGAATCCTTAGCTTTACCATAGGTTAGAATGCAAAACACTTGCCCTTAATCTGGCTATTTGGAGTCTTCTTAACTGTTAAATCTGAAGTATAAATCAACATCCTCATAATCGATGAGCGTATTTTCATATTCTATTAAGCATAACTTTTGTGGATTGTACATGTTTTGGAGAAGCCATTACAACTCAGATTAGCTTAGTTCATGGCTCAGAGAGATGGCATCTCAAGCAGTATGAGTTTGGTTGTAATAGACAAGTATTGAATCAGCACTGGACCAGACGCAGGACTTAGATCTTTCTGAAATGCTTTGTTTTGTCCTCTGATTTAACATGCTATTTTCTGAGCTTATAATCCAATTGTTTCCACCCCTTACTTTCCTACTATGCATCTCATAAGAGTGAAATATTACATTCAATTCTATTGCATTTTATAGTAGTTACCACAGTCAATCTGTGAGCTCCAGCTCCAAACTTGTATTGGACAAGGTTATTCTACATGGTCACCAATTTCCTGGACACACTGGAGAGGAGCTCCGGAAGGATCATCCGCTGCCCTGTCTGTAGACAGGGACTTCTTGTTCTTAACCACTGAACCTCTGCCCACAGATCATTCTGAGATAGGAGACAAATCTGAACCCAGCAAACATTGATTTCATCACTGCCATGTTGTTGAAATCATAAAACTACATAACCAGAGTGCAGAAAGCCATATTTTATAAACACCCTAATGTATGGCACATGACTAAGTGATAAATCTTGACACGTTTACCAAACAAAGTGAAAATCTTCATTTGTCTTATGGAAAGAGGAGTGCTCACATGTGTTTGGACATCTGCACAGTCAACATGTGGCAATTATTGTGCGAAAAATAGGATCACTGTAATTGCTGTTGCAAATTACGGCCTCATTGATTAGTATCTCACTTGCAAACTCTCCACCTCATCGCAAACAAGGAGGCGCACACACTGAAGGCCTTCAGGAAACTCCCCCCAAACTGCTTTAGGCTGGATGTACTCTCAACAGGCTCTCCCATGGCATTACACATTCTTTGCTTTTTTATTTGAGGTTGCCTTGAATATGTGTAACACACACTTCATATATGTTTGCTTAAGCACTAAAATAAGTACGCATAATAAAGCCATCTGTGGCAAACGGAATTAATAAATGGAATACCATATTGTTGTGAAGATGTGTATTCAACAAACACATTATTCTCCGCAGAACTTGGCATTTCACATGCATTGCTAAGATTTGAATATGACCCAACTTAATTTGGAATCTGGGTATTCTATACTGAGCTGGAAACCTCACCAAAATTTCACCTTACAGAATACTTCCATTTCCTCTTGCAAGACTTTCCATCGTGAAACTGGGATGCTATATATGTATGTATGTATACATATATATGTGTGTGTGTATATAAATATGTCATACAGTTTGGGAAATTGCTGAAGTGCCAATTATTAGTAAATTCTGAAGTTCTTTCTTCTGATTATTTTTGTTTCCCTGAACAATCACCGGACCTGATTTGGCTTTCATTATTTTTGAAGTTATATATGAGGGACATTTCCACATGATGTCAAACAATCCCACTACCTCTATCAGAATTTCTTAGAAAATCAAAGAAATGAAGTATGAAGCAATCATCCATGAGCTTCACCTCTCTTCTGTATAAATATATGAAGGATTGATTATTTATGCCATCTCTGGCCAGCCTATGTTTGTCTTTATTTTACAAGCAAATTTCATATTGTGCAGGCTAGTGAAGGTAAGGAAATGGAATTTAGCCTCTGAGCCGGTTGCAAGGGTGTTAAACCGAAGTTCACATTCATTTCCTTCATAGCACCCTTAGATAAAAGAGGGCACAGCCTGATGTGTGTTCAACAGGAGTCCTGTCCCAGACAGCAAGGGAAGCTCCGCCCAGGGGATGCACCTCGTGGGCTGGCTCCGGACCAGCAAATGCTGTGACCACAGATGTCTTTCTTCCTGCTCCTGCAGCCCTGCTGCCCAAGCCGAACATAGCAGCTCCACCAGAGGGCTTGGTACTTTGTATGTGGCAAGGTACAGGGGAGGGGCACCAGGATTACTTGTCATTTTTATGTAAGCTTCATCGCTAAGCCATCCTTTGATTGAAACATCAGTGAATTCTGTAAAGAGCACACAAAAGAAAATCCTGGGTTAACTACTTACCAGTGAGGCCAGAATAGGGCACCCTCATTTCTCAGATCTTATAAGGATGGAGCTTGGGCTCCGACATTGGACACAGCTGTGGATCATGCTTTTCATAATCAACCCCCTTAGACATCTGCATAAAATTTTTTTTTCCTCCAGCCCCTTTGTTTCCACCGTTCAGAAGAATTTCCATGGACTCAACAAGTTACATCAACTGAGAGGTTAGCCTGCTCTTGGAGCTGGTGGCATCCCATCCCTATCCCCCTCTCATTATTGAAGTCAGAACAGCTGGCATAAGTTGTGACAGTTTCCCAATGACTGGTTATCTATGTGGATCTTATGGCAGGAAACACAGGAAAATGGGTTTCCTCTGGAGGTGAAAGATGTGAAGAATTCAATATCTTCACAGCCGTCACTTATTGCTGAAGTGTGCAAGTTGAACACTCACCACGTGCTGCACTGAGCAAGGTACAGATGTCCTTGTTTGATCCTCCGGTACCTGTGGCGAGTTGGATAAATTTAGATATGATGAAATGAGGCTCATTAAGAGAGCTAACAAGAGACCTTGCAGATGAATTTTAGGTGTGTCTAAATCCAATGCCACCTGCCCCCATCCATTTTTTTTTTGATGTTGTTGTTTCAGATCGCTTCTTATTGTTTCAATGAATTTTTGAATATCCTTGCCAATAGCTCATTAGGAGAGAGTCTTCCCCGGAGAGTGGAAGGGTAATTTCCTGAAAAAACTGGTATGGTCTGGACAAATGCCCTTATGCCAGAAGTAAGGTTGGCTGTCAGCACGCAGGGTGAAAGATCAGAGCAGTTGGCATGGAGATACATGATTGTCCCTGATGCCCCTTGTCCATGGCTTACCTCTTGTTGCATAGCATGGAGGTAATCATTTGTATAACGGCGTAAGTTTGGTGTTTGTCATCTAGAAAACACTCAGTCCCTTCAGTCAAGGTCACAGATGTAGCAAATAAAACTACAGGACAGCTGGTTAAATTTTAATTTCAGATAAACAAATAAGTTACTCTTTATTATAACTATGTCCCATGACATACAAAATGTTTGGAAAATGGAAATAAAATATAGGTTTATTTTGTTGTAACAAATTTTTGAAATCCATGTGGAGCTTTTTCATAATATACATTTTCAGGTATATGGATTTCAAAATGTTTGTATGCCAAAATATATTTATCTTTCAATTATATTTTCCATGTACATTTTGAAATACACTCATAGATGGAACATACTATAACTTAAATATTCTTTTTTATCTATAATTGAACAGAACAGGGCATCCTGAATTTTAATGTCAACCCTACCTGTAGTGAGATGAGCGTTAAGACCCAGTACACCAATCCTATCCCCTCTAGGGAAAGATAATATCCTTACTATCATACATACAGCAGGACCTACCTCACACTCATAGGTGGCCAGGAAAAATACAGTCAATCATGTGTATGAAGCCCTACCATGTGTTTGGATTTTAGCACAGTAAATTAAAATGTTCATTTCTCCTTTGTTTAATACGTTTAGAATTCTGAGTCCTATAAACTCCACCTGATTTGAGATCCATAGAGAAGAAAGAGAGTTGTCTGCCAATCTAAGTTATCTCTGTAGACTCTGTAAGCCTTCTTACAACCTTTGTAGCAGATAAGACCACAATTATAAAAAAAAAGCTATTTCATTTATGTGAAATGCAGAGTGATAGAGAGAGAGGAAGAAACCCCTAGAGATACTCTTCCATCTGCTATTTTACTCCCCAAATGATTGCAATGGCCAGAGCTGGGATAAGTCAAAGCCAGGATTCAAGAACCAAGAACTCCATTCTCACTCCTACAGGCTTAGCACTGGCCTAAGTACTTGGTCCATCACCCACTGGTTTCCCATGTGCATTAACAGGGAGCTGGAATGGAAGCAAAAGAGCAAGGACTTGAAGCAGCTCTGTGATATAAGATGCTGGTGTCGCAAATGGTGACCCAGCCTTCAACAATGGATGAAACAACAGTTTTAAAAACAGAAAGTAGGCATAATCTATGCAAGAAAATATGCTGAACAAGTTGCATGTGTCCAATCATGTTATCCTGCCAACACTCCCACGTGGTTGTTACATTCAGTTTTTCTTACAGTCATGAGCATGGAGTGGTGAAGTTCCTGGCTCTGCCATTTCCTCACTGCACAGAACCTGAGCAGAGTGGCCCTGGATCCACTCACTAAGACACAGGACCCTAATCGATGCTGTCTAAGGGGACTTTCTCACCCCTGACCAAGTGAAGACAGTTTTAAAAACTGGGTACAGGGGCCAGTGCTGTGGTGTAGTGGCCGTGCTGGCATCCCATATGGGCACTGGTTCTAGTCCCGGCTGCTCCACTTCTGATCCAGCTCTCTGCTATTGCCTGAGAAAGAAGTATAAGATGGTCCAAGTCCTTGGGCCCCTGCACCCACCTGGGAGATCCAGAAGAAGCCCCTGGCTCCTGGATTTGGATCAGTGTAGCTTCGGCCATTACAGCCAATTGGGGAGTGCACCAGTGGATGGAAGACCTCTCTCTCTCTCTTTCTCTCTCTCTCTGTGTGTGTGTGTATGTGTGTGTGCAACTCTGCCTTTCAAATAAATAAATAAATCTTTAAAAAAAGAAAAGTGGGTACAGAGGGTGACATTTTGGATCTGCCATGGATGACAAATGCTGAATCTCCACTTGCCGATCCCTCTTCTTCTGTGTACAGAGGTAGAAGTTGCTTATGTGCCTGGGAAAGGTGTCCTTAAACATGCAAGACATGTATGGTGAAAGGGCCTGTGTGACTACCAGTGTGTGGTAGTGCCTCCCACTGCAACATCTGTGTGCGGTCTAGTCTTCCTAGTTAGAAGAGCATGCTGACACAGGAAGGGTGGAGTGTTGCCAAGTGGACATTGGCGCAGTAAGCCAGAGCCATCCCAGAAGCAACGCTGCAAAGGAGCAGGTGCAGCTACTGTGCTCCACTGTGCAGCTGAGTGCCGACTGAATGAACATTAAGGTCTAAAGGGCTTCTGTGAACCCCAGAGACCTTCTATTAAGCCCTTTCTTTAATATTGTCAAGAAACAATGTTTATTTTAAAACACAGCTAAATAAAAAGCAACTGCAAGAAAATTAAATCAACTCTTGAAACACCAGAATCTACAAAGAATTGATCATGGGGTTCTTCTCAGGTACTGTACTGGGTTTGGGTAAGAAATCCTCTATTCATTCCCTACATGAAGTTTCAGTTGTGTTCAAGGTAGGAGTTTGATGATCGGTGTTTCCCCTGCCATAGGAAGAAGACAAATCAGGAAGAAAGGGGACTAAAGCATGCCTAAGGGACCTCATCATGAACCTTCAGCATGATTTAAATTTCTTAATGGAAGATTCCAAGATTTTCCACTGGTAAACCCAGATAAAGCAAACAAATTTGTGTGCGCTCCCAGTTAGAGGTATCTTGAACTCATTTTCACCAAACACACATAAGAGAGCCCATAGGGAATATGTCACAGAACATTTAGCTCATCCATTCCTACAAAAACTCTATATTGTGCCTGTCCCTATTAATTCAAATCAGAAGAGAGTTGTTTATGAGATTTCACCATATTCCTCTGCTCCATAAGTGATTTGTGGTCAACCATCGGCCCACATTAGGAATCTTGCAGAAAGTAGCACAGTGCTGGCTGCTCTTTCCCCATCTGTCAGGGGTTGCCTTGAACATTGTTCATTGCAGCATGCAGGGGACCCTTAAGAGACTCTCAGAGAGAAATGCATCTCTGAAATTAGCACCAATAATAGTTGGGAATCTCCAAAGAAACTGGTAGTTTTTTTTCCGACATGCTACACACTATGGATCTGAAAATATTTCTCTTTATTCTTTGGCTGCTTGGAAGCTGAAAACCAACCCTTAAATCTACTTACAAGATAACTAAGTACTTCATGGCCAATCTTGTTATTAGTATCACTTAATCATTGTATTATTTTTTACTGTGATTTTAATTCATTAATTCCTTTAAGTTATTTTACATATCCCATCTCTTCTCTTCCTTTTGGCTAAGATCAAATGTAGTTATTTTATGTATCTTTTATATCAACAAAGTACTTTTCAAAAGATACTGAAGAAAGTAAGGAAGGTGGGAAAAGAGGGAGAACAGTTAATAGTACCTTCAGAATAATGATGTGTGAGATATGAAATGTAATTCCTAGGTTGTTATATAATAATAATATATTTGCACTATTAATAGCAATAGTAGCACCTAATAATCATATTATCCCATTTCTATCAGCATTTGCATTTCTATTTTATTTAGAATATGAGAAATGCTACCACCCTATGAACAAAGACACCAGAGCCCAGCTTTGCTTGTTTGTTTTGTATACTTCATCCAAAGCAGCAAAAATGAAGGGGGCAGCACCTGGAACTTATTTCACGCTGAAACTTCCAGAAAACATCCCCCCACCACCAGAAGGTCCCCCTCATGCCCCCTCCTCGTACTCTTACTGTCATTCACACATCCCATGGTGGTATTCTCACCTCTGCTTCCTGCCTGTCAGGAGCGCCTAAGGGCAAGAACTATGGCTGTCTTCTCCAAAACTGTGCTTGTGGCACCTGCAGCCAGAGCTGATAGATGAAGGCTGTATGCGACAGGTGAAGGCTAGATGTCTGGAGGCTGATGCAACAGGTGAAGGCTAGATGGGGAGTCTGAAGCCACCAGGGACTGCCCCTCACAGTTTCCTCCACTCACCATCTTGTGTTCTGCTGTTGGCAAAAAGATATCTTCCCTTTCCTCTACCAACAACTACACCATCCACCTTCCCACTGACCCAGGGGTACATCCTGAGCCTCCTTAAACTTTTTCTTCTTTTTTTTTAAATTTCCAGCCAACAGCTTCAGTTCTTTACCCCTGAGACGGAGTCCTCAACAAGTGACTTCACATTTCCTGTGTGACCTTTGATCAGTTGGTCAATGCGGTTGACCAAACAGATAGTCTGGAGAAATATTGAAATCTTGGCATCCTCTCAGATGGATAAATTGAAAGTTCTAGCTATCAGCAGTAAGTTAACAGGGGCCAGCACTGTGGCATACTAGGGTAAGCCTCTGCCTGGGGTGCTGGCATCTCTTTTGGGTGCTGCTTCATGTCCTGGCTTCTTCTCTTGTGATCCAAATCTCGGTTTATGGCCTGGGAAAGCAGTAGAAGATGGCTGAAGTACTTGGGTCCCTGCACTCGTGTGGCAGACCCAGAACAAGCTCTTGGCTACTGCTTGGCCCAGCTCCAGTTGTTGCAGCTAATTAGGGGATCAAACCGTTGGATGAAAGACCTTTCTCTCTGTCTCTCCTCTCTCTGTTTGGAACTCTACCTCTCAAATAAGTAAATATTTTTTTTTAGAAAAAGCAAGCAAAACTACATACAATCTATATCCTCCCCCCACCTCCACCACCATCTCAAATAACTTCCCTTGGACGTGCTGTGTTGATACAACTCCAGTTGCTTGCTCTAGTGAACATCCTGGGAGATGCATCTGGAATGACACATTCTCCTGCTACTCTTTCCTGATGGGTTGGAACTTTGAAGACACGAGTTCCCCTCTCCCATAAACACTAGATTTTTCATCTCTGGTCTTATCCTGTTCCTATCAATTCCAAAACTAAAGATGTCCAAAAAGGTATATTGCTTTCTACGCTCAAAATCTGGTTGAAAGAAAAAGGTAGAAAGTGAGGTGAGCAACGCTGCAGGGCTCACTAGGTACATGCCATCTGCCCCCTACCTGTGTCTTCCCCAGACTCTTCATGTTAGATAGGTCATGAGATCTGGGTCAATCAGCAGTGACAGAACTGAGGACCGGGTGACACTTGGAGTTTGAGGTTTGTGAATGAGGAGTGAGTTCCCTGTACTCTTCTTCCCCCATTCCCCACGGAGACCCAGAAAGATGTGATGCCCAGGGCCTATACCTAGCAGGTTCCTGTAGCGCAGGTTCCTGAGCACACCCAGAGGGTTGCTCCCCCTGTAGGTGTCTGTGAATGAGGAAGAATTTGTCCGTTACACAGTAATAAGTCCCCGAGAACCGCAGGCTTATTACCAGGAAAAGCCTCTGCTATCCTGATCAATGTGAGAATTAGAGCCAGAAGTGAGAATCAATCAGAGCAAAAGCCAAAAACATGAGAAATTTGCTGAGCAGTAAGGCAGGGGAGGTGCAAAAGTGAATATCAGATGTCAGAAATATTGGAAATACGGAGATGCTGATCTCCAAAACTCAATGTATTGCTTTTTTAGCCATATTTCAAAATGGCTGAAAGTGGATTAAAATATTCTCATCAGAAAAACAAATGAGTGAGAAGATTGATATGTTAATTTTAGCTTGATTTAACCATTCCTAAATATATACATATGTCAAAATATCACATTCTACCCCTCAAACACATACATTTATCATCTGTAATTAAATAGGAGATGGTAAAAAATAAGTATCTAAATATTTCAGGAAAAAATGGATGGAAAACTTGTCACCTATGCTCATTTGAAGATGAGCTCTGCCTATTAAAATAAGAGACTTTGGAAAACAGAACATTAACTGTTGTTCACTGAATCTGGGAATGAGATAAGCTTGAGGAAGAATTCACCAGTTCTCAGGAAGCAATGAGGAAATAGATGATCTCAGATATTCTAGGCCCTGTAGGTTAGAATCCATGAGGACTTCCAGCGGTGCTGCCAATAAGACTTGGAGGACAACTGATAAGTCAATGTTTTATTTGATTAAAAACTGCCAGGGTCAAGGTAAAATTAGCAGTAGGGGCCCCTCTCCATGGGTTAAAGTAAGGAGGGCAAGGATCATGCTGTGGGTGTGGCCTCCTCAGTAAAGTTCCAAGGTCAAGGTGGAGCTCTGTCTTAGGGGTGGAAGCTAAAGGTCAAAGACAGGAGCCACTGCACAAACCAGGAATAAAGACTTGGGACGTTTTGGAGACAGAGTCGGGTGCATTTTAGATGCCTGCATTTACAGAAGATAGAGGAGATGTCATTGTGTGCCTGGGCAGGCAAGCAGTCAGCAGAGAGAGACAACATGGAAGAACTCACAACCCTGCTCTTCATGCTTAGTTTCTGCCCAGAAATGGCAGCAGATCATGGTGGGCCCTCTGTGACCTCAGGGGATTGGTACAGGACCCAGAAAGCCGAGCCCCTTATGTAGAATGGCATCATGCTTAGATTGTCCCTAAAAGCTACCAGGCCTTTAAGAGAAACACCTACTGAGACTTGTCTGAGGACTGGCCGGTTTCCTCTATCAGATCCATTTGACATGAGTGATGGACAAAAAGGATCTGTTCCTTTTGGCAACTGGAGCAGCCTTGAGGAATCCTTTGTTCTTCTCCTGTACACTCCTGTTTATTCCCAGAAAGGCTCCTCTTAAAATCAGTTGGTAGCCCCTTCTCAGAGACAACACCCCCTTTGAAGGTATTTTGAGCAATAATATTCTAATCTCCAACCAGGAAGAAATTTGGCCCTGTTTACATAAAGCCTGCCTTTTCAGGCCAAGTCAATACATGCTCACTGTGTAATATGGAAATTTCAGCTAGAACTTGATGACTTTGGAACACTTCCCCAGAAGTGGAAGTTTTGTATTTGGCCAAGTCTCCTAGCACGGTGTCAAGGCAAGTCCTTTATGTCTTGTGGGAGTCCACAGTTCATACCTTGTCCTCACTACTCCAAAGACCTGAGTTTTAACCCTGACTGTATACTGTCTAGCTATGATTGCCAAACAACATACTGGAACACAGGAGGGTGTCAGAGGGGTAAGCCCTGAAGTAGAGTCAAAGAACACAGAGCAGGAATGTCCCGTGTCTTCTTATGTGGTCTACTGCAAGTCTGGGGGGATGGGCAGGAAGAGGACACAAAGTTATTTGAATGTTAGGTTAGGGAACTTGGGTTTTCTTCTGAAGATCAAGGGAACTGACAATGAATGATGATCAGGGAGTGTTGTGATCCTATTTCCATCTTGAAAGATCACTTGTCATGAAGAGATCTCTGGTATCACTGAACCCTGAGTGTGGATGAGATCTTGGTTTCTGCACAGGTTGTCTGTGTAATCTTGAATGGATTGTTTAGCTACCACGCAATGGATTAACCTCTATAAAGGGCATTGCTATTCTCACAGTAAAGGACCATTGATTGGTCTTCCCCAGCATCCACCACCGCACCTCATTCTCACAGGGTAGCAGCCAGCTGGGTGGGACTGACGCAAGATTCAGTTCCATTCACATCATAATCAGCCCACATCAATCAGCCTAATGTTGTTCACCACCAGCAGGAAGGTTCATGGATGGGATATCAGCACATGGAATGATGCTGGGGAGGAGTTCTCTTTTCTTCTGTACAGTACTGGATGTGGGTGTGAATTCTGCAGCATGTTTGCAACGATGAGAAAAACTGACTCATAGGCAATGCCTACTGTCAGATAGGCAGTCCACCGAGATCACCAAGAAACAGAGGTGAGGCAGCAAACTTCCCCTTCCAAATCTCTGGAGTGTTCAGCCACACAAGGCCTAAATTCAACTCACTATTTAAGCCAGTTCATTTGAATCATGAAAAGTCACTTGTTTACCCACAGTGTTAATGTAGATGCCAGAGGTGGCATGCTAGTTGCAGGAAGAACTCAATAAGTGTCTTTTGACCTCAAACTGTTCATCTTGTAGTATCTCTCCAAAGCGGTTCTCTTTTTCTTTCTTCCAATCCAGAACACTCTCCTCTACCCTCTCAAAATTCATCTAATATGTGTACCATGACTTCAATATGTTGTTTTCTGAAATGGATGAGGAGTAGTCAATGATCTCAGTCAATATTAGGTACCACACTGATCTGAAATGATCCTGCCAAAGAAAGTGCAACCGATGACACCGCGGTAGTAACTGCACAGGCCTGTGGGGGCAGGTAGAGCTCTGTTCAGAAAGGTGAGCACAGCTCAAGGATGGCCAGGACTAGAGCCTGATGACCTGCTGAGCCTCATCTATAAGACACTTAATCAATTCAAAGGAGTGAGCGAGATTGATTGTTACTTGTCACTGCGCCTTAACTCCAGAGGTCCGCTCTCATGTTATTCCTCAGACCACCCAGAGAGGCAGAAAAGAGTGGGCGTCCTTACACTCCGCATCTACAGACTCTAACCTCCACCCTGAGACCACACGCTAGGCAGCCTCACCCTGAAGGAGCTATTTTAGCCAGGGAAGGCCAAGCCTCAAAATATTGCTAGTTGTGTTTTATTTTTTTATGAAGTTCCCAAACTTGTGGATGCTTATCTGAAGGCTATCTGAACTATGCACGTCTCAGGGGAAAGCATAATTGGACTGGAAATTTCCTAAAAACAAACTTTCTTATAAATGCTTCAGGCTGTCCTGCCATGGGTCAAGACAGAAACACTCCCTTTTACAGCCCCCTGGCCCAATTTCTGCACCCCTGCGGGTGCTGACAATTAAGACAGTGGCGGTAAGGCCCTGGCCTTACCCTTGCAGGGTAAGCTCAAGTCTGCAACGCTCCCATGGAAGTCTGAGGCCAAGTCCAACGGAGATGGGAAGTTTCCCCGCCATCTGAGACAGGAGTTTCAGGTCCTTTGGGCACTTCTCCAAGCGGCCTCATTAATGGCAAATTAAATAAAAGCATTCTCTTACTTTTCCCCATAGAAAGTAATGATATTTTAATAAGGCAATGCCATTACTTTCTTAGGATAACAACCAGAGAGAAGAATAGCAAGGAACACCAGGCCTGGAAAGCTGCCCAGAACATAGCTCTGGGTGGCTGGTCACAGAAGAGTCGAGCAAGGAAAGAGAAAGCAGAGAAATACCTGCGACATGAAGAGAGGCAGACGGGGACCACGACGGGTCTTTCACGCCATTCAGTCACTCTTTCGGAACCTCGGGAGCTTGATGAATGATCACTCTTTGATAACC